TGGCAGACAAACAACAACAAGCAGTGGAATGAACAATTTCAGGAGCTCACACAGGGCTAGGAATAGTCTGCGTTCTCATCAGACAGAGTGGAAAGGCTTCACAACACCAAGGCATTGGATAGGGTCTACAGAAGGGTAATAGTGTTTTGGGAATGGAGCTAAATGAGCCCCAGAATAAAGGCTGCTCTACATCTACCATAACAGAGGGTAAAGGTGAGCTTCTGAAGGATTCAGTTAATTTACAAGTTACTTATCTGCACAATAGAATAAAATCCAACATTCTTTAGAGAAATAGAAGCCACGAAAAATGTCACAATATCTGACATTGAAATAAAAATGACTAGGAATGCAAAGAACAAGGAAAGTTCATCTACAGCAGAAAAATGAATCACTGTAACATCCCAGAAAGGACAGAGAGAAAGGGATTTGAAGAGAAGGATCTTAAAACAGCTGTTGTAAATATGATATATATGCTCAAGAACATTAAGAAAAATATACAAACTTGATAAGGAGAAATGGAGGCTATAAAAGATTCACATTGCAGTTTCAGAGGCAAAAAAATACTACATCTGAAATGAAAAACACTGAGTAAACTTGACGACATAGCAATAAAAATTATTAAAATAAAGTACTGAAAACACAAAAAAGAAGTTGGAAAAAAATTGCACAGATCCTCTGTGAATCTTTTGTGTAATATCAAGTGGTCTAACATATAGCAAACTAGAGTCCTAGAAAGAGAGGTGGGTGCTATAATAATAATGGCTGAAAAATTTCCCAAATCGGTGAAAAAGATAAACCCATGAATCCTAGAACTTCAACAAATACCAGACAGGGAAAACATAAAGAAAACCACATTAAGGCACCTCATAATAAAATTCCTGAAAATCAAAGATTAAAGAAAAAAATCTTGAAAGCAGCTGGGGTGGGGGGTGAACCACACTAGACACAAAGGAACAAAGAATGACATCAGACTTTTTGTCTGAAACCATGTAGGGCAGGGAACAAGGGAACAACATTTTAAAATGACTGAAAGAAAAAGAAAGCACTCCCAAAGAATTGAACATACGTTCCTAAAACTAAGATGTAATACAAATTTTTAAAAAAACCAATAAAACATGAGAACATTTCTCACCAGTGGGAGTTTATAAGATATATTAAAGAACATGATTTGAGCAGAAAAAAAAATGATATTAAATGGAAATTTGGAAATGCAAACAGAAAACCCAGTATACTAGAAATGGTCAATATGTAGAAAAATAAAAAACACACTTCTGTTTAAAACAAAAATAATAACAATGTACTCTTAGTTTTATAACATATATACAATTAAAATGTATGACAATAGCACAAATGCTGGGAAAAGAGAAAGTGAGTAACCTGTTATGAAGGTCTCAAACTATATGAGTGGTAAAATTTCAAATAGCTTTTTTTTTTTTTTTTATGAGTGGTAAAATTTGAAGGTAGACTATATAACAAGTTAATGACTATACTGTAAACACTACAGCAATCACTAAAATTTTTAAAGAGGCCCAGCTAATCCACCAATAATGAAAAAAGACAGAAACACACGCACGCATCCACAAAATCCTAAACAAAATAGGAAAAGATGAAAAAATAAAAGATGGAATAAGTAAAAAACAAGTAGAAAGGTGGCAGATTTAAAGTCAACTATATTAATAATTATTATAAATGTAAATGGTCTAAACACCCCAATTAAAAGAAAGATTGTCGGCTAAATAAAAAGCAAGACCTGCCAATATGTTGTATAAAACAAACAATTTTAGAGATCACAGATTAAAATGAAAAAGCCAGAAAGAAATTTCTGTACATCATGTAAAAACTAAAAAGAAAGCTAGAGTCACCATATTAATATTAGACAAAGTAGACTTCAAAATAAATGAATGTGAACAGGGATGAGAAAGGTCATTTCATGACAAAGGGATTTTATCAAGTGGATATAACATGCATAGCTGGCAGGAATGCAAAATGGTATAACTAGTTTGAACGTTTCCTATAAACGTATACTTAGCATACACCCCAGCAGTCTCGCTCCCTTACTCCTAGGTAACTTCTGAAAATACACATACATGCAAAGACTTGTGTGTGACTGTCCCAAGCATGTTTATTTATAACAGCCAAAAAATGGAAACCACCCAAATGTCCAGCTGGTGAAGGTATAAACTTGTGTGGTAGCCAAACAATGGAATGAATATACTACTCAGGAATAAAAGAGACAAACTACAAATTCACATGGCACAACGATATGGAAGAATCTGCAAGTAACACTACTAAGTGAAAGAAGTCAGCACAAAACAATCTATATAGTCCCATTTACTGTAATTCTGGAAAAGGTAAAAGTATAGTGCCCAAGGTCAGATAAATGGGTGCCATGGGCTAGGAGTAAAGGAGGAAAAAATTAACTGTAGAAAGTACAGTGGAGGGCCGGCCGAGTGGTGTGATGGTTAAGAGCTGGCTTGGGACGCCAGAGGGCCCCGGTTCGGATCCCACGTATGAGGACCAGTGACACTGCCCTCCACAGCTAAGATGCTGAACAACAGCTCAACCTGGATCTGGGCTGCCGTGAGTCACCGGCGAC